ATGACCCTAACCAAGAATACTACTCTAATTCACTATTGAAGACTAGGAGCGTTGTGGTGTCAGCAAACCAAAGAAACTTTACTCTTGTTTGGTACTCGTCAAACTCATACTCTCATGCCTAAGTCAGCTAGAGTTTGTGTTAAAAAGTAGCGAGTATTAGTGTAGTGTAACATAATCGGTACGTGAGACTCCTTTTCCCTTTTATAATTAGTGTGATCCTCACAATCTCAAATTCTTAAAGTTGAACTATCCTTGGATTGATTACCTAGCTCGACTTTGAGTGGGTTACCCTACTAGGCTCAACCATAGGAGCCTTGAACTAATTGATTTGAACTAGAAACTTTCTCTCTTTTAGTATCGATATGTAAAATATAATGAATTTTGCTCAAATAATGTATTCATATATTTTTATCTATCAACAATAAATTACTCCACTATTAACTCGAGGTTGCACTCTTGTATTGTATGGCATGTTATGTCTTTAGATATAATCACATTAGGTATAAAGTTGATCATTAAAGAGTAGGCAAACCTACTACTAGATAAAAAGTATGTTTTATTCCTATGAAGACATCTTATACTCCAACAACTATAATGAATCCACTCATGAACAATTATTTTATGATCAATCATAATCTTGCCGTTGAGTTGAGTGGTATAAAATTTAAATGGATCAACTTATGTCTAAAGGCACATCACCCCTACTACGAAGATACCATTTGGAATTGAATCTAGAGGGCTTGAAAAGCAGGGCAACCTACAGAGAACCTGCAGGCTCTTCAGAGCCACCGAAACTGCTCTACCCTTTAATGCCTCAGTCCTCTCTTGATTCCAATGAGATTAAGAAAGAATAAACCCTAAAGGGGAAGATGGAAGATTAGAATTCTTAGTTTCAGCGTAGAGGATGGTAACAGGCTATTTATAGCCAATGGCCAGGCCATGGTTTACGAGGAGCATGACCGTGTGCGTGTGGCAACACACAACGTGACGTCTTTGTAATGAGAACGTTAATCTTGTCATTAGATCGGGCAAACGGTGCTGGCCAAGGCAGTAATTTTGGATCTCAATTTGCACCAAAAATTAGGGGAAACTAAGCTTTGTCTGATAAAAAAGAATTAAGCTTCCTCTCTCAACTCAACTAGGGAACCAAGTTCCAAAGCATCCTCATTTATTCCAATTCAGAAAATACCAAAGAGCACCAGCTCCGGGTGTACTCTTATGAAGAACAGTAAAAGGCTATCATATCAATCCTCCAAAACCTAGATAAAGATACAAACAAAGAAAATGATACCCACACTCCAAAAATAACTAGAAACTGTATGACAAAAGGAAATCCAACCAACCTATAATTCCTTAGCATCTTGGATACAGAAGGGTATTTCTTAGACAATCGTAACAAACAGAAACAATCATCAATAGCCAGAAGAACTCAATTTATACTATGGAAGCCAATTGTTAAATCAACCAAAAAGAGGAGCAATATAAACCAGCGCTCCTGCACTTGCTGCAGTTCATTCAATCAATAATTGTTCCATTACCTTGATATACCAAATTAGATTTGTATCTGTGATCAGATAATAGATTTATTCATTCCTACACGAATACTAGCATACAATTTTGATTTCAACTAAAATTCATAGAATAAATCGGTTTGACTATGGTGGCAAAACAGGTGTATCTCAATCACCACAATCAGCATGCTCAACTACAGCTTCATGTTTTAAGACAAGTGAATCAACGATCAAATGGAAAAGTATTAATTAAGTAAACCAATAGCCTTAAAGTGAATCATAACCAATTTCAACTGAGAAATATTCTTCAGCCGATAAACTAATAATCGCAGAGATTTTTAAGAGCGCCATTTCTAACTTCATCTAGCTTTCAATGAAACATCCTACCGAATATATCAGTATACACACACATGAATCCACTGATCAAATGGCATACTTCAAACAATTTTCAACGAGTGAATTGACGACGGAATAACAAATAGACAAGAAACATGGCCTTATACCCTATGTTAGGAACCCCTGGTTTTGGAAGGACTAATTTGAAATCATTTCTAGGGTTTGGAATGTATTAAAAAAATATATACAGAATTCGAAATCACAAATGATTTGAAATCTTGTTTTGATTGAAAAAGAAAAAATCCATAAAAAATCGGTCAGATTTGGTTTGATTTGAAATCAAAATTAGCCTAGTTCCTTTTCGTTTATTTAACATAACATATAATAAAAATATAGTAAACGAAAGTGATTAACGAAGACGATCTATGTATTTGTGGACAAAAAGGAGTGGATAATAATGATCATGCGAGAGTAGAAAAGGAATTGCTCACCGGAGATTTCGAGAGGGAGAGAAATAGAGAAGCTTACCAGAGATTGAGTGATGACTGCCGCGGCGGCGGGAAAGTTTTTGGAATCACATAAATGGGCTGGTTTGTTGGGCATAGTATATATAATATAAAGAATCTGGGCCGTGAGTATTGGGCTCAGTATTTTTTATGCTTTTGGGCTGTGTTGGGTTACATCATAGACCCAATTCAATTGATTAGGGTGTCAACATTTTTAATTTAAGCAAGATTAAATAATTAATACAATCTATTCACATTATTTTTTAATAAACAAATGTTAATACGTAGAGCATTAATTAAGGTTAACTCAAACTGAACCCAAATAAATTAATAATTCAACTCAAATTGTACCGTTAAAAAACATCATCTCAATTATGTTATTTCTAGTACTTAATTATTAATTTATTTTAAGGTTATATAATTTGGCACGTGTTTTTTTAAATTGTTTGTGAATTTTACGGTATAAATATAAAATTAAAAGAGCAAAAAGAAAAGAAATGATAGTGATGTCATCATTCATATTGATGCTTGTGTTATCATTAAACGGACACTTGATCCGAGATAATATACTTGGAATTGACTCGAAGCAATTATGAATGTTATCCCAACCCCAATCAATTAAATTAAATTAAATTAAATTAAATTAAACCGACACTAAACTATGATTACGAGGTTGTGAATACGGAGACCGAAACATGTAAACTTTTTATACGATCGTATTTTATAACCAAAAAATGTAATATATTATTCCACGCACCATAATTTTTTCAAAATTAAAAATAAAAGTATTGTAAAGTAGCGTGAATTTACTTTGTCAACCATCGATGTTTCTAACACATAATTCGAACAAAAAAAAAAATATTTTTATATAACGCAATAATTAAGAGAAAATAATAGAAAATTACCTCTTTATTTGAATTTCGTTCCCGATCCCAATTAACAATCTCTAACCCATAGATATTTATTGCAATGCACTTATCTATTTATAACCAAACTTCTTAAATAGACTAGTTTTGTACCTTAGTTATGGTATACATATATTTATATAAATACAGCAGGGCGAAACAAGGGCAATGACAAGAACAGTAGATATAATTACTGTCCCTAGTTGTATTTTAGCTAATGGAGAAAAATTTATCCTCACTTCCTTTTTTATTTTTTATTTAAACTAAGATTTTTCACCTGTAAATTAAATGAATATCTCTAAATAAAAAATGGCGCCAAAAATAATATAATAGTTCATAATTAAACTACTTCTTTAATCTAAAAAAGTTGAGAGAAAAAAAAAAAAAAATTAAAAGTTGAAAAATGCAAAAGAAAAAAAGCCAACGCTGACTTTGAGAAAAGAGTGAAGGTGTCCATAAATGAGGACCTTTTCATAATTTGTCTTTTCTTTTCATTGAATATTTGATTAAAGTGTAAATTCCGTTTGTATGAATTGTAATTTAATTTAAATAATTCGCTAAATATTTTATTTATTTTTCAAAAAATTTAATTTTATCTTTTAAACTATTTAAATTGAGAGTAAAATCTCGAGAAGTCAACCAATATAGAAATGTTTTGAGCAAACACATTTTCTTTTCAAGTCTTTTAATATTTTGTTAATATATTTTTTATTTAATAATTGAGAGTATAATTTTGAAGAGTTAAATTAAACTAAACCTTAGTGATGAAAAATATAGTTTATCTTTTACAATAATTTATACGAAAAAAAAGCAAAAGAAGAGGCTTTTGTAATCTCTCTCCTAGTAATGAAAGAAAGTCAACGGTGTTCCTTCCCCACTAGCTTCTGCTTTTCCTCTGTCCTTTTCTGGAACATCTGTCCGACCTCACTCATTGACTAAAACTACCTCTTGCTATCCTACGCCGTCATGAGCTTTTATCCTCTGCATTTCTCCTATTTCCCTATCATAGCCTCTTCAACTTCACATCATCCCTTCCATCCTTTATATTTATTTTTTTCTTTTGACCATTTCTCGTGTCAAATAATAATTTATAATTTTACGATTTAATGAAAATATTGAAAAAAATTTATAACGTCGATTTTTAATTGTGGACATATATGGAAATTCGGATGAAAACGACAATATATTAATAAAAAAAAATTAATATATGCTGAAATTGTTCCTTTTTCTCTTCGTTTATCATTACGTTACAAATAAAAGTGGGTGACTTTAGGTCGATGTTTAGTGGTAGACATGTATGGAAATATAGATAAAAATAGCAATACGTTGATCGAAATTTAATATATTTTGGCTTTGCTCGTTCCTTTGCTTTTTCTTTTATCAATATTACGTTACAAATAAAAGAACGGTGATCCTAAAATCCGCCTTTAATTACGGATGTATTTCTTATTTTCTTTCTACTCACTCAAATATTACATTACTAAATTAAAATATTATATAATATGCATGAAAAAATTAGATGAGTTAACTCGGGAGACAAATTTTATTACGTAGGATAACAAAGAAAAGAAAGAATGGTACGAAAAGTAAAAAGGTTCCGAACAAGACGGAGATTAGTCCTCGGGTGCAAAAGTTTAGTGGCCGTTGATCGGGAAGACTTGGGAGTTTGATCTGTGTGAGCGAGCATAGAGGAAAATTACCCAAGAAATGGATAGTATTAAAAGGGAAAAGGGAGAGTGGAAGATAATAAAAAAAAAAGGCACATAAAACTCGGCCTCCGCCACCACCATAAAAAGCTCTGCCCCCTCCCTTCTCTTGTAGTCAGCGTCGTTCATATTCCCACTCCCAAAAGCTAAAATCTCTCTCTCTCTTCTGTCTCTCTCAAGCTCTGACTCTTGAAAATTTTGAAAACCCCAAATTCCCAATCCATCGTTAATCAAAGAAAAGCCCTTAATCATGGAGTCTCTTCCTTCCGGTTACCGCCCCAACATTGGCGTTTGTCTCATCAACTCTGATAGTCAGGTCTGTTTCGATTGTTTTGTTTGTTCTATGATCTTGAAGAATTTGTGATGAACTGATTGCCCATTTCTCTGCCAGATCTAGGTACATGTGTGAATTTTGTTTTCCTTTTTTGGGGTTTTTTTTTTATTAATATAATGTTGCCATTGTAAGAGTAGAGCTATGCTTAATGTTGACTGATTTTTGTTTCTTAAGATTTGAGGATTTTAAGTGGGTGTTGTAGTTGTTCTGTTTTTGTGTTCTTTTTGTTGTTGTTGAGAATTATATGGATGAAGAAAGATTGCTGTCTCAATCAGATTTGTTGTGCAGGTTTTTGTGGCGTCTAGACTGAATGTTCCAGGAGCGTGGCAGATGCCTCAGGTGATTTTGAAATTTCCTTTCTTCTTTTCTCTGCTTCAGTTTGAAATTTTGTTTCATTACTCAAAATCTCTACATGGGTCAGTTTTAGTTCATGGGATCATACTGTTGGTTTCCTTATTTGCTTAAATCCTGTTCAATTACATGAATTTTTGGACTCTGGTTAGTTGTAAACTTGTAAGATGTTATGGATTATCTGCCCTTTTGATTTTGAGGTATCGAGCGTTTCACGGTTCGAATCGGAACTGCTATAATTTGGCCTGTGATCGAAGAGGAAAGCTATAAACCTAGATAATTTTGATGTCATAGCCTTAAACTTTGAAGGTCATGGCTGATTTGGGACATATTGTTGTTAAAATAAACAAGAAGTTATGAATCAATATCTTGAGTACCATCATGATCCAAGACCGTTATTGTAACCGTCCAAGCCCACCACCGCTAGCAGATATTGTTCTTTTTGAATTTTCCCTTTCAGGCTTCCTCTCAAAGTTTTAAAACGCGTCTGCTAGGGAGAAGTTTTCATACTCTTATAAAAAATGCTCCAATCCCTTCTCCAACCAACGTGGGATCTCACAATTCACCTCTTTTCGAGGCCCAGCGTCCTCTCTAGCACATCTTCTGGTGTCCACCCCCTTTGATATTCTGGCTCTAATACCATTGGTGGGTCCCACATCGGTTGGGGAGAGGAACAAAGCATTCTTTACAAGGGTGTAGTAATATCTACCTAGCAAATGCGTTTTAAAACTTTGAAGGGAAAGCCCAAAGAAACAATATCGGCTAGTGGTGGGCTTGGACTGTTATAGTTATTGTAGTTCTAAAGAATGGTGGTTGCATCGATATAACGATGTGATATAATGGTATTGAGATTTATGGATACCTTAAATTGCAACAATGAATTTGGGATGGATGCCACTACAAAGTTCCAAAATTATATAACATTCATATTTACCTAAATCCTCTTATAAAAAACAAAATAGCTCTCTTTGTTAGAATTCTTTTAGAAAACTGCGTCGGTTATGAATTCAAAAAGTTCGGTTTGATTAAATTGGCTATTTTCTTCAATGATTTGTTTATTTTAGGGAGGTATTGAGGATGGTGAAGACCTCAAACTGGCAGCTGTTAGGGAACTGAAAAAGGAAACTGGAGTAGTGTCTGCTGAGATCGTCGCCGAGGTATTACCTTAGTGAAGAAGCATTAAACCGACCATTTCTACAGCGTTTTCGAAGTTGCCTTAACAATGGTACTCAAATAGATTCAACAATTTACATTTTTTTCGGTTAACAGGTACCCAAATGGTTGACTTACGACTTTCCTTCTGCTGTTAAGACGAAAGTCAATCGTCTCTGGGGCGGACAATGGCATGGACAGGCTCAAAAATGGTCTGTTTTTCTGTCTGTCTGTCTTTCTTCATCTAGTTGAAACCAAACTTGGACAGGATTGATGTGTGTTCTTGTCTGCATTTTTTGAACGTACAACAGGTTTCTTATGAGAATGACGAAAGACGACAGCGAGATTAACTTGGACAACGATGAAGCCGACGTAGAATTTGCAGAGTGGAAATGGGCAAGCCCCGAAGAGGTTATCGAACAGGTCGTTTAAGAAGCTCACTTGATAACGATTTTGAGTTCTTTGTCTGTCTGTCTGTCTTTCTTCAAAGTTTTGTTTTCTTTTTCCTTGATTTTCAGGCTGTGGACTACAAGAGACCAACATATGAGGAAGTAATGAAGACTTTTGCAGCATACCTCGATGGAAACAAGATATCTACCAAATGTAAATCATCAAAGTGGTGAATGGTGAGGAACAATGGTGTTCTTACCTCAATTTTTACGAAGGAAAGGAAGAAAGAGATGGATTTGTAAATGGGGCAACAGCTAGCTACAAGAACTGCTTCCTTTTATGATTTTGTTTCAATAATTGAAATTTTGTCGAATTGCTTTAACAGTTTGTGGGGGAAATAATTGTGGTGTTTCTTAGGAGATTTGCAGATCTGTGTAAAGAAAAGGGAGGTAGTGAAATGAAATTGTATCAAAACTGTGTGAACTTTGTGATATTAATTAATGTAACAAGCTTTCGAAACTTGTTTTTGCCTCTTTTTATTTCATTAGTTCAGCTAAGGCGAGTGTAACATTCCAAGCCTACCACTCACAGATATTCTCCACTTTAGCTCGTTACATATTGTTTATGGTTTTAAAAAGCATCTACTAGGCAGAAGTTTCCACATCTAATTGATGTGGGATCTCACAAACTACTGCCTTTGGAGACCCAGCGTCCTTGCTGACACGTTGTCCACTGCTTTGGCCCGTTTACCATAATGGAGTTAACGAAGTAAGCCCAAAGTTAAAATGTTGGGCCCAAAATGAACCAAGCCCAAATTTATTTTCACAAACTAACTTGTAATTTGGAAAATACAAGTAAACAAGAATTGATGTAACCGATAATCTGGCGACACGTGGTTGAGCATCATCCAATCATTTATCTATGTAATATATGGGGGAAAAATGAGGAGAAAAATGAATTTGGATGTGTGGAGGAGAAAGATAATCCATTTAATGTGTGAGAGAGAGATGAATGTGGATGGGTGGAGAGAGAAAATCAAAAGTCAACGAGATGATTTATTGAAGGAGAGAATTAAATTTCACAATTTTTAATTTTTTAATTTTTTAATTTTTTAATTTTTTAATAAATGTTCATTATTAGTAAACAATATAACAATATTCTTAATTCTTCTAATTAAATTAATATTGCTAAATTTTATTAATACCAAACAAAATGTATAGATAACATTAAATATTATTAATAAATAAAATAATATAAAGTCAACTTTAAGTACATTTTTTCTATTTTAAATTATTGTAGGGTGAGCCAAATTCATTATTGTTTAATTTTGAGTTTGTGTTAAAAAATTAATTTTAAATCAAATTCATTATTAATAAATAACATAACCATAATAACAATAAATATTAATACAAACCCTAATATATTAGTAAAATTAATTATTTATAATCCATTAAAATGCATTATGTATACATATTTGATTGTCGTAATTACTAAAATTCCCGTTTAAATTTATAATCCATTAAAATGCATTATCGTTTATATATTTAAAAACAAAAAATCTGAACATATATATTTTTTTATTATATTCATTTCAATTTTTTTCAGTTCAAAAAGATGAAAATTTATTTGAAATAATTTCTTAAATTTACTCCAAGAAATGAATTATTTAATTTATTATTGTATTAATTAACCAAAAAAATAAACATTTTTTTGCATGAGGATGAATTTAGCAAAGTAATAGAGGCCCAGTAATAAAAAAATTTAAAAAGGTTAAAGGGTAAAAATGTAATTTTACATATATTTAGAAGCACTAAATAACCTAAAAGATGGTATCAGATGCTTGATTGATATTCTAATATACGAAACTTTAAGACAGATTTTATCAATTTGGTCCTTAATATCTTAAAATCTCGACTTTATTTTAAACGTATTAAAATATTTAGATTAAGTTATTAAAAGAAAACATTTAAAATGTTACGTGGATTAGAAGGAATAATCGGGGAGAAATATTGAGTTTGAACATGAAAATAATTCAATAATGCATCCATTTTTATTGTTTAGTTAATAAAATTTGACAAAATTAAGGAATAGAGAATTTTCAATACATTAAAAAAATAAAATTTGATTATTGTGGAAGATTGACGTTGATCAAAAATAAAAAAACACGTTACATTGACGTGGCACAATAAGGTTCGTTACAATCCAAAAAAAATCTCCGTCGTTGAATTTTAAAAAAAAGTCAAAAAAAAAAAAAAATCATTCAATTTATTTGAAAACGACGCAGACTTTAGGAGATAAAAGAGAGGGTTCTACCAGAGCTTCAACTCAGTCTTTAATGGAGCCATTGATCACTCAACTATTTCTTCATCCTTTTTTTGGCCTCTCTTCTTCTTCATATTCCGGCGACCTCGCCGCCACCAGAAGTGGAGTTTATACGGTTTTCTATTTCGATTCCCATTTCTCTTGGCTTTGAAAACCATCAGGTCTCTCCAGAGGAATAATCAATCACACACACGCCTCCGTGGACCCTCACAAGGTTAGTTTATTCGCTTTAAACGGTTTGCTTGTAATAAAAACTTCAGAGGATAGGATAAGGCCCGCATTTCGAGGGCTCCGTTTGTTTGTAGTTAAGGGTTTGATTATTTGTCGTTTTCCTTAACCTAGCACTCTGTAATGGATGATTGTGTTCGATCGTATGTCACTTTCTTGCGTTGAACCTTTCCGTTTCGATCTGGGCTGACTCCTTCAATTTGGGGGGAAAATGAAAATAAAAGAACGCTTCAGTAATGTCAATCGTTTATGAATATAATTGACATGAACTATTTATTTCTTGTTTTTATGTCACTACTTCATTTGTATTCTGTGCAATTGATTTGAACTTTTGTCATTGCAATCAGAATATGGTTGAGAAGGAATTTTTCACTGAATATGGTGAAGCTACTCAATATGAAATTCAAGAACTTATAGGTAGAGGGAGCTATGGAGTTGTTGCATCTGCCATAGACACTCATTCTGGTGAGAAAGTTGCTATCAAGAAGATAAATAATGTCTTCGAGCATGTTTCTGATGCCACACGTATTCTAAGAGAAATAAAGCTGCTCCGATTTCTCCGACATCCCGATATCGTTGATATCAAACATATATTGCTCCCTCCATGTAGAAGGGAGTTTAAAGATTTGTACATTGTTTTTGAATTGATGGAGTGTGATCTTCATCATGTACTCAAGACTAATGATGATCTCACCCCTCAGCATCATCAGTTTTTCTTGTATCAACTTCTTAGAGCCTTGAAGTATATACATTCAGGTTAGGCCTCCATTTTTTGTGGCTTTGATGAAATATCTTTCTACACACTCTGAGGTTTTGACTTATTTTGGGCTTTTACAGCGCATGTGTTCCATAGAGATTTGAAGCCGAAGAATATACTTGCTAATGCTGACTGCAAACTGAAGATTTGTGACTTTGGACTTGCGCGTGCATCTTTTAGTGATGCCCCGTCTGCCATTTTTTGGACTGTATGTGTTTCTACCAAGATAATAAATGGTTTAAACTCATTCTATTTATAAGTTGAGATCTGGTTTGATTTAATTGACTGACTTTAATCACTTATTACAAGGATTATGTGGCTACTCGATGGTACCGTGCTCCTGAACTCTGTGGTTCTTTTCTCTCAAAGGTAACTAAAGGGTATCCTGCTCAACGTTCTACTTTCCAACCACGCTTCTTGAATATTTGCTGTGTGTAGTTGGTGGTTTTGTCATGTCTGTTCTTTATTTTTGTTGTCTTGTGAGATCCCACATCGGTGGGAGAGGAGAACGAAACATTTCTTATAAGGGTGTGGAAACCTCTCATATGTAGATGCGTTTTAAAACCGTGAGGCTGACGGCGATATGTAACAGGCCAAAACAGACAATATCTGTTAGCGGTGGGCTTGTGCTGTTACAAATGGTATCATAGCCAGACATTGGGCATTGTGTTAGCGAAGATGCTGGGTCCCGAAGGAGGGTGGATTGTGAGATTCCACATTGGTGGAAGAGGGGAACAAAACATTCTTTATAAGGATGTGGAAACCTCTCCCTAGTAGACGCGTATTAAAAACCTTGAGAAGAACCCCGAAAAGGAAAGCCTAAAGAGGACAATATATGCTAGCGGTGGGCTTGAGCTAATACAAATCCTGTGTTTATTATGACACTTTCATTGGCTATTATTTGTAGTATACACCAGCTGTTGATATTTGGAGCATAGGATGTATATTTGCTGAAATGTTGGCAAGCAAGCCTTTGTTTCCTGGGAAAAGTGTTGCCCACGAGCTGGATCTAATAACGGACTTGCTCGGTACCCCTTCGGCTGAATGTATTGCCAAGGTTTCCACTTCAGATTTTATCTTTATATTTTTCATGTATTGGGCTCTGATCCTGAATATAGACTGACATAGTTTTTACTTATAGATTCGTAACGAAAAGTCTAAAAGGTATTTGAGTGGCATGAGAAAAAAACATCCAATTCCTCTGTCAAGAAAGTTCCCCAATGCAGATCCACTAGCTCTTCGTTTACTCGAACGTCTGCTCGCATTTGATCCCGATGATCGTCCTTCTGCAGAGGAGGTGGGATCCAGTGATACCAATCTTTAACCCTTTTGAATTATCCTCACTTTTTGCAGAACTTATTAATCTTCCATGTCCTTTTGTGTAGGCATTAGCTGATCCATACTTCCATGGACTGGCAAATCTGGAGGATGAACCATCCAGGCAACCCATTTCAAAACTCGAGTTCGAGTTTGAAAGGGGAAAGTTGACACAAGATGATGTCAGAGAGCTTATTTATAGAGAAGTAGGAGTTTTTTACTTTCGGATTTTATGCAATTCTGCTTAGTTCACTCAAACTATCCTCTGAAATGCAACAGATTTTAGAGTATCACCCTCAAATGTTACAGGGCTACCTTCAAGGTTCTGGGAGTCACTTCTTGTATCCCAGGTATCAAACTCATACTGATTTATGAATGTTTTATCAAAAGAGAGAATATTAATTCATTTTCTCTACTTCAAATGTTTAAATTAGTGGAATTGATCGATTCAAGCGTCAATTTGATAATCTTGAGGAACGTTCTGGTAGAGTTGAGAGAGGCACAGGCAGTCCACTTCTAAGGAAGCATGCCTCCTTGCCTAGGTATATATAATCATCGTTTTTTTTTTTTTTTTTTGTTGGTTTAACATCACTCTCCTGCTTGCTGATCTTTGAGTACCATAGGGAGCGAATATATACACCACGAGATGAAGACGATGATGAAAAATGTATATCGGAACGGAGAACTGCAGCGCTTCGAAGCCCTCCTGGACCTGCTTGTTCATTAACTGCTCAGAATGGTTCTGTTCATGTAGATTGCAATAGCTATAACCTGTTGAGGAATGCAAGTATAAGTTGTTCTAAATGGGTGGATTAACTGGGAAGGCTGCACTTAGAACTTTCAATTTTATTACTAAGTTGTTGTTTTTCTTAAATTCTGCTAAAAACATATGTTTTATACTCATTTAATGTAATGAGTATCTTTGTCTTATATGATCTTTTGAACAAAATTAATAAAAAAAATAATAAAAATTAAAAAAATGAATGGTCGTTGATTTTTAGGTGACTTTGTGGAGAGTGAGAGCTTAGCGAAGTCAATGCTCCTCTTCTTCCCCTCATGGAATCATTTCTGCAGATCTGAACTCAACAATTCATCATGGATTCAACCAATGTTCTTCTTTCTGTCTTCTTCTTCTTGTTCTTCGCTTCATTTCCAGTTCCAGCCACTTCATCTCCGCCATTTTTTCCGGCGGAAGCTCTTCCCACCAAATCAGGCTATCTCCCGATCAACCCCACCACCGGCTCCGCCATTTACTTCGCCTTTTACGAAGCCCAAACCCCAATTTCTTCCATCTCAAAAACCCCTCTTCTGATTTGGCTCCAAGGCGGCCCTGGCTGTTCTTCCATGATTGGCAACTTCTTCGAGCTGGGTCCATGGCGGGTCAATTTCCACAAAAAAGAAACCGACCCTGTTTCCCTAATCCCCAATACAGGCTCGTGGAATCGAAGATTTGGGGTTCTATTTCTCGACAATCCAATTGGAACTGGCTTCAGTATTGCAGCAACCAAAGATGAGATCCCTAAAAACCAATACTCTGTTTCTAAGTATCTTTTTTCTGCAATTTCTTCGTTTATCGAGCAGGATATTACGTTTAAGAATCGACCCATTTACATAACAGGGGAGAGCTATGCAGGGAAATATGTTCCCTCAATTGGGTATTACATTTTGAAGAAAAACCCCAAATTACCTGTTGATAAGAAGCTCAATTTAGCTGGTGTAGCCATTGGAAATGGGCTAACAGATCCCATTACTCAAGTAGCCACTCATGCGTTGAATGCATACTATTCTGGGCTGATTAACGAAAGGCAAAAAAAGGAAATGGAAATCGCTCAATTGGAGGCTGTGGAGCTCACTAAAAAGGGGAATTGGAGTGAGGCCACAAATGCAAGGAGCAAGGTCTTGAATTTGCTCAAGAACATGACAGGATTAGCCACTTTGTATGATTATACAAGAAAATCTCCTTATAATTCTGAATTGGTAGCTGAGTTCCTGAGCTTCAAGGAGGTGAAGAGGGCATTGGGAGTGAATGAGTCCATGGTTTTCGAAGAGTGTAGCGATCTTGTTGGGGAGGTTTTGAAAGATGATGTGATGAAGAGTATGAGATATAAGGTTGATTATCTGGTGAAGAACAGTAAGGTATTGGTTTATCAAGGGCAGTTTGATTTGAGGGACGGCGTGGTTTCAACGGAGGCTTGGTTGAAGAAGGTGAAATGGGGTGAGATTGAGAGGTTTTTGGGAGCTGACAGAAAGATTTGGAGTGTTGGAGATGAGTTAGCTGGTTATGTTCAGAAATGGAAGAGTTTGAGCAATGCTGTCGTGTTGGGAGCTGGTCATCTTGTTCCTTCTGATCAAGCTTTGAACTCTCAAGCAATGATTGAAGATTGGGTGTTGGAGAAGGGGGTTTTTGGTGATGATAATGCTGAAGAGAAGAAGCCTTTTGGTGCTAATGATTTTGGGGTTTGGTGATATAAAAAAAATGTATGCTTATGATTCCGATGTTGGACGTTAATCTATGAACAGGTTTTATATAGACCATATAGGCCGATGAATCCACACATCTCGATTGAAAAAGAATCAGTAAAAAAAGAAAGAATTGAAAATAATCGTATGGGATGTCCTTACTGATAGTTAGGTATGCATACATTTTGTTTGTTCTATGATAGTTGTGTATGGTTCATGTCCTGCGTGTATTAACATACACTATTCCACTTTTCTTTCTTGGTGAGGTTGGATTCATAATACTTCTTTACACAGGGTGAGTTCGTTAAAGTACCCTAGGCCTGAGTAAAGACTAGCGTATGCTCACACTACTAAAAAAGCAACAAAAAGGAAAAGAACACAAATAATAACTTAATGTACGCACCCGTACATATCATGCTAGAGAAGTAATTCATGATTATCTGATATATACCATGCATGCGGTCCTACATTAAAAATCACAGTTCAATAAGATGATAGATACAATACTTTCATGCTTATTGTGAATTATATTCATCGTTAGACGTATATATATTCATAGTATTTCATTCATGCTATTGTAAATGTAAAGCATATGATCATATCAACATAACAATCATAAAGAGCCAGATAAATTTCATTAGAATATTATAACATAAACAATAACATGCAAGTGAACCCACATAGTACGTGTTAGTCATGCATCAATCAGTTTCATCCAACCTAGCCCGTACGTACTGTTTTAGACTCAATTTGGTGCTCCTAAGCTTACTTTGACCAAACATTTCTAAGTTCAACTTCACGTGATCCAATTTCACCTACAATATTTATTCATTCAAAAAATCGAACTTAGCGTTCATCTATCAAAATTTTCTTATCAGTTTAAATTTAGAAAAGTCCGTCGTTACATTTACACTTACACTTGTTTAATTCTCTCTAATCTAACTTAAGACTAAAGAACACTTTAATTATCTCTAAGCTACTATCAAAGATGAAGATATGATTTCTAAGCAAAGCAGCCATTTGAAAAACCCATTTAAGGAACCATAAGACTCATAGTCAATTCCACAAGCATACATTCAAAGATTCAAGTCCCTTGAATTATAATGCAAGACACCTTTAATTTGTGACATAAATTTATGTGAAATATGCTTTCCTCTCAAGAAATTACCACATCCTTTTTCGAAAATGATATAACCAAGCGTAATTAGATAATAATAATCGGGAATTAACAATGGCGAAGATAACACACACACATATATATATATATATATATATATATATATATATATATATATATATACCAATAATCAGCAAATTGAGTTAAATGTCTGTAACATTTCACCAATCTCTTAAGACAAAGTACAAAGACAGTCAACTTCAAGTCTCATTGCTCTTCTTCTAATCCAAACCTCTCTCTCCTCTTGCTTTCCATCTCTATAAATATATACCCATCCAAACAAACTATAGAGATCTGGCTCCAGCTTTTTCGTATTCGATTTGAACAATATTCGACGACCGCCCGCCATGTTGATATCGATATCTTCTCGTGTTCTTGTCTGTGTTCTTTTGTTCGTCGTAGGCTGCGTCGATGCTGTAGAAATCGATGAGGAAAAGGTTGTTGCGTTCATGAATTCATGTTCAAATTTAGTGTTTTTTTTTTTTTTTTTTTTTTTTTTTTTTTTTTTTTTTTTTTTTTTTTTTTTTCTCATTGTGTTTGCTTTTTTTTGCAGAAACATTTCATTGTTTTCCTGGAAATGAAGCCTGGTTTGAATGAGTTTGATGCAGTGGAAACACATCTTAATGTTCTCATGTCAGTGAAGGAAAGGTGGGTTAGGTTATTATAGGTTTATTTTGTTTGTGTAATTTATTATTGACCTAATGACCCGAAAAATTGGATCAATTCAATCCAATTAGTACGGTTTGAATTAGATTCAAATAAATGAAAATTTTATAGTTGAATTGGTTAATCGGTTTCCCTGAAACTAGATTAGGGTTGCTTACGATACAATTATCACATGTTTAGAATTTTGTTCGTACTTTAATAAGGGTTATTTTGATTTAAAAATGTACCAAACTAGACCTAATGCGACTAACAAACCCTCTCGTAGATCAATAACAATTAAAATAGCATATTTATTTTTAATTATTTGATTTCATATAACAATTATGAAAATGATAGTCATATTACTACGACAACTTTAATGAACATAGTCGTATCTTCATAGCTATGTCGAGGCGGAGGAGTCGATGGTGTATAGTTACACAAAAAGCTTCAATGCCTTTGCAGCCAAGCTTACTGAAGAGGAAGCCCTAGCATTGTCAAGTAATTTTTATATTTATATGCAAGTCCTTTCTCCTTGCTTAATTTGCTCTTTAACCCCTAAAATTTTATAAGCTCTCTTTCTAGAGCTCATATTCTTCTTAATTTGCTCTTTACCCCCTCATAGTTTATAATCGTTAATGTAGAGAGGGAAGATGTGCATCACGTGATTCCAAACCGCTATAGAAAATTACAAACAACACGATCATGGGATTTCATCGGATTGTCTTCTCATGCCAAGAGAAATTCCAAAGAGACAGATATTATTGTGGGTTTATTTGATACCGGTAATTTCTCAACTGAATTATTTTTTAAATTTTAATCAAAAATTTATTATTAATTACGTAAAAAAATTAAATTTTTGACTAATTAAAATCAATTTTTTTAAAAAAGATTATCTGTATAATTTTGATAGAAAATATATAAATTATCGTTTATAATAATTAATAATTTAATTACAGGGATCACTCCAACCGCTGATAGCTTTAAAGATGATGGGTTTGGTCCTCCTCCCACAAAATGGAAGGGCACGTGTCACCATTTCGCCAATTTCACCGGCTGCAACAAGTAATTTCCATTTTTTTACTTTTATTTCACTTATTATTATTATTATTATATTTTGCACGTGATGAATTATTCTTTATATTTTTAAAAAAATTATGAAATTATTCGTCACAAAAAATTTGTAATTTGTCTTAATTATCCTCTTCCTTCTATGATTTAAGTAAAGATTAAAATTAAAATTTTAATTTAACCCAAAAAAAAAAAAACATTAAATTTTAGTTCAATTGAATTTTAATTCAAACTGTTATTTATTTATTTGAATCTTGTTATATGTTGAAGAAAACTCATCGGAGCAAGATATTTCAAGCTCGACGGCAACACCGATCCGGCCGACATCTTGTCGCCGATAGACGTCGATGGCCACGGCACGCATACGTCCTCAACGGCAACAGGTAATGCAGTTGCCGGAGCCAGCCTCTCTGGTCTGGCCAAAGGAACTGCCCGTGGAGGCGTGCCGTCAGCCAGAGTTGCCATGTACAAGGTCTGCTGGGCTAGCACTGGGTGCGCCGATATGGATATTCTAGCCGCCTTTGACGCTGCCATACATGATGGCGTCGATGTCATTTCAATATCAATCGGCGGCGGCGCCTTTGGCAATTACTCCGATGATTCCATCTCCATTGGGGCGTTTCATGCCATGAAGAAGGGTATCATCACCGTGACCTCCGCTGGAAACGACGGCCCGACCCCCGGCAGTGTCGTTAACCACGCGCCGTGGATTGTGACGGTTGGGGCCAGTGCGATTGATCGGAAATTTATCAGTCTACTAGAGTTGGGCAATGGGAAGAACATCTCGGTAAAGTTCATATATATATGTTTAGCTCAATCAATTGTCACCTTGAACATAAACTCTCGTGATTTTATTTTAGACTTTCCAAAAGATCTTATTGAGTATTCATTAATTAAAATCCTAAACTCTTTTCCAACAATACTTTGCTAGTACAAAGTATACTATAGAGTCGAACAACTTTTCTTTAATCAAGGCTCGACTCATTCTCTAAAGTCCTTAAACAAAGGGAGGCACGACTCCTTATCTAAAGTCCTTGAACAAAGTACACCCTTTGTTCAACACTTAGTCACTTTTGACTACACCTTCGAGACTCACAACTTCTTCATTCAATATTTGAGGATTCTATTGACATGACTTTAATACCATTTAAGAATCACGGATCTCTACAATAGTATGATATTGTCTATTTTGAGCATAAGATCTCGTAGCCCACAAGACTTCATTAAGAGGGCAATAATATCGGATAAAGTTGGGCTTTCCATCAATTTAGTTAATGTCAAAATCTTATGGCAACAGGGAGTAGGGATAAACATATTCAATCCAAAGAAAAAAATGTACCCATTAGTGTACGGAGGGGATGTGGCGAGGGGCGCAGGGAACAGAGAGAGCGCAAGCCATTGCGAGGAGGACTCGCTTGATCCAAGCAAGGTGAAGGGCAGTCTTGTTTTCTGCGAATTGATCACTTGGGGCGTTGATTCTGTTGTCAGTGCGCTTGGTGCCAACGGCGCTATCATTCAAAGCAATGAGTATCTTGACAATGCTAATATCTTCATGGCTCCTGCCACCATGGTTAGCAGCTCTGTTGGTGCTGTTATTCACTCCTATATCAAGTCCACCAGGTAATCTGTGTATAATTTGGGTTACCCTTTGAGTCTAAACGTTGATTAAACTAGGCGAGTGTTTTAGGATTTGATTTGAAAACAGAACCCCCACGGCAGTAATATACAAAACCAGGCAGCTCAAAGCAGCAGCTCCTATGGCCGCTTCCTTCTCTTCTAGAGGCCCAAATCCAGGCACTACTCGCATTCTTAAGGTATGTCAAAATACAAAGGTTCATTTTGGGGGAGGGATTTTGACTTATATTAGATAGGGGAGGATAACAAAGGGGTTGGGAAACTTCCATGTACTAAAAACTTTGAAGGGATGCTCGAAAGGACTCCTGGAAAGGAGAATGAAATATTATTTTATAACGGTGTGGAAACCTCTTTAGACGTTTTTTAAAAACCTTGAGAGGAAGCTTGAAATGGCTCTGTTGGGGAGAAGGATTAAACATTTTTTATAAGAGTGTGGAAACCTCTTCCAAACGTGTTTTAAAAACTTTGAAGAAAGCTCGAAAGGACTCCATTGGTGAGTAGAACGAAATATTTTTTATAAAAGTGTAGAAATTACAACAGAAGCATTTTAAAAATCTTGAAGGGAAGCTCGAAAGGGCTCTATGGAAGAGTAGAGCCAAACATTATTTATGAAGGTGTGGAAACTTGTCCAAATGCGTTTTACAAACCTTGAGAGGAAGCTCGAGAAAG